TCATGGAAAAAAAACAAGTGGAAAACATGCAGTTGAAGATGTGCTGCGTTTATTCAGTCCCGTAAACCAAAGGCGTGTACTACGAAGCTGGATTTGTAACCCTGGTTTTCAGTTTCATGAAGGTAGTTCACCTCTTACTGGTGTGCATCACCATGGTAACCTGCTTCAGGGCAGGTTGTACTCGAGACGAGAGCAACAGGCATGAAAATCCCGCCAACTGACCAATTAGCTCTCTGGAAAATATTCTTAGAAGCAACTTAAGTTTTTAAATGTTGACTGCAAACAGTTTTACAATAATTATTCTAAAAACGTAAATTTATAAAAAAAACAGGAGACCTGTTTCGTGAACTTGTATCAAATTGTTTATAACCACATTCGACTTCTGTTTTTAGATTTCTTTCTTTTCATTAATCACCATGGTGCTGCAGCTAAAAGAATAAAAACTCAAACTATACTATGCACATCTACATATTATTTAATGAAATAACAGTAAGAATCTCAGCTTCCTCCATGTCTTAAAGTGTTGACTATGTAATGCTGCTTACAGTCAGCATTTTTGTTGGCTTTGCTTTCTGGGTTTATGGCTAGACTTTATTAATATACTTACCATCACTAAAAGCATATTTGTGGAAGCACGTTTCTTACTAAACTACTCTCTAGTGTTTTCCCATTAGATGCTCACACCACTAATTTGTCTGCTGCAGCTGTGTTGCTTTCAGCCAGCATTGTGTGTTTAACCTCCAAAATTATAGTTTTATCTTCCTTTGTAATATCAGCCACTTTGCTACCAGTAGCCTCATCCATCAGACGGTCAGGCCTGTCAGATGCTGCCAGTGCCGGTCGTCTCATGTGAACATACGAATAACTAGATGGTTAAACCCCAGTTTAATCTATCGAGTTGATAAAACCTTTCATGCGACTTCTTTGCCTAGTTCTTGATGTTAGATGTAGGGGAAGCCAGACAACAGATATATATCCTGGGTATGTTGAATGTGCTTGGTAGTGCACGTCAATTCTGACAAAAAATATATATATTTAGTAACCACTAACCTCTATCTAAAACTTGATTTTGCAGTCCAGCCCGTTATAATTTATTCATGCATAAAAATCCACTTAGTAAACTCCTCACCTCCTTGGTCGATGCAGATTTGGACATTTTGGTAAACTTGGATTTGTTTAAATCCAATTTCTGCCTAACTGAGGAGTTGGCTCACGTTCCACATCAAATCCCAAAAAATTGAGACTCTGTGTGGAATGTAAATAATTGTGCATTGATTTGCAAAGCTCATAAACAAATATTTTATTCACAATAAAAAAGAGACAACATTAAAATGAGAGAAATGTGCCATAAAAAAATCATCTCAATTTGAATTTGATGGGAGCAACACATCTCAAAAATGCTGGAACAGGGCCGTGTTTACCTCTATGTAGCATCTGCTCAGTCTGTAAAACTCTATGTAACTCTGTGTAGCCTGTAAAACCTGTATGTAACATTCTGCATTGATAGTAGCATTAAGGAGATGCATGCTGACAATTGCATGTGCACTAATGTGCACCACACTACATAGAGACGTGCATATTTTTGAATGGAGCCCTGATAACAAGCCGGATGGTCCCTCTGCTCTTTAGTTCAGAGGACACAGCATCCATGTTTGCATCACAGAGGTTTAACCTGGTTTAACTATTTTAACAGACAAAGATTTCTGAAAGTGTTCCTGAGGCCATGCAGGCATCTCCATGACAGCCGCCTGAGTGTCCGAAGACCACGGACATCCATTATTAATTTTTGCTGTTTTGATGATATTATGTACTATAGATGATGAGATATTCACAGGAACATATTGAGAAACATTATTATGAAATATTTCCTAAATTTATAAGCACTGTTTTTTGCAGATTAGTGAACCTCTACCCTTTACTATTCCACAATGCTCTTTTTTTAAATATATATCAAATCATGTTACCGATCTGTTGCCAGTTAACCTAATTAGTTGCAAAATGTTCTTCCAGCTGTTTCTCTCATTCAAACTTTTTTGAAAGGTGTTGCTTTCTTCAAATTCAAACTTGACTAATATTTTTCATGAAATAGGAAAATGTCTCAGTTCACACATTTGTTTTATATGTTTTATATATTCTTTAGTGAATACAATGTGGGTTTATCAGATTTGCAAGTCATTGAATTCTGGTTTTAAATTTTACATGATTCCAACTTTTTTGGAGTTGGGGTTGTATTTACTATATTACTCTTATATTTACCGTTTTCTAACATGTCATAACCTAATAATCACTGCTGCTTTCTGAATGGGACAGCTTGGACAACCTGCTGCAGTGTGGTATCATCTATGCTGACAACTTGGTCGTTGTGGACAAGGAGAGCACTATGAGTGCTGAGGAAGACTACATGGCAGATGCCAAGACCATCGTCAATGTCCAGACAATGTTCAGGTAACGTAGAGGGTGCTTAGAAATTCAAAGGTGTCCTCCCACCAGTCTCAATTGTTCTCACTCCCCCACTCATCTTATTGATCCAGGAACAAGTTCATTAAGTTTGTCTCATCATCTCAGCTTCTCTCCTCTTTGTGCACTTGGCCTCTGTCTTTCTCACTTTGCAGAGAAAAAGGTTCATGATTTTATGTATTTTGTGCCTCGGTTGGGGAAGAGGTGTCGCATGCTTGTTGATTACTGTACTAAAGCATTTTTCACAGAGACAGCTGTCGTTGAGAACATGTTGGAGTTCTCTTTAGCTCTTGTTAACATATTATGCCCACGTCTAACAAAACCAGAGTATGGCAATCACACTTAACACACAGTGAATTTTGGGGAGTCTAATGTTTTTGACCACGGTATAGATCGCCTTGTGCGAGCTCACCCTTGTTATGTATGAGTCAATATTCCGGTTTTGGCCCGAGTGTGCACCAGATTCACTTAATTAATGTCTTCGTCTGTTCTTAGTGCAAAGCCAAAGAGCAAATATAAGCAAAGACAAACTACAGCTGCCAAAGCTGTGAAACTGCTCGTTTATTTAGCAACTAAAATTAAAAGCATTTATCACTGTTACACCATGTCTCTCTCAACACAAAGCATTTTATCTTTCCACTGACATCCCTCTCACTTTATTTCCTCCACACTCAGGTTGTTCCCCAGTCTCAGCATCATCACTGAGCTCACACATCCATCCAACATGAGGTTCATGCAGTTCAGAGCCAAGGACTGCTACTCACTCGCGCTCTCCAAACTGGAGAAGGTGAGTGTTTCGTGTTCAGTGTCTTTGACTTAGATCGTTTTATTTTCTGGACAATCGAAAAATATCTCAGTATCCCAAAGAGAAGTGTAAGCACTTTGGGTTGTGCATTATAACTTGCAGCCTATGAAGTCTTCCTTTTTTTTCTTTTTTTTTTTTTTACCTTTTTGCACTGTATAAACTCATCTGGCCAATTTTTGTGTACACTTTGCTAGTTTCAAGTTGGACCCAATTTGCTTTCAGAACTGCTGTAATTCTCCGTGGCATAGATTCACACAGCTGCTGCAGATTTGGCTGCACATCCATGATGACAATTTCCTGTTCTACCACATCCCAAAGGTGCTGTATTGGATTGAGATCTGGTGGCTGTGGAAGTCATTTGAGTACAGTGAAGTCTTTGCCTTGTTTGAGATAATTTGAGCTTTGTGACATGGCGTGTCCATGTTCTGGAAGCAACCGTCAGAACATGGGTACGCTATGGTCATAAAGGGATGGGCATGGTCAGCAACGATACAGCAGGCTATGGCTTTTAAATGATGCTCAGCTGGTACTAAAGTGCCAAAGTGTCCCAAAAAATATCCTTCACACCATTATACCACCACACCAGTCTGATATGTTAATGCAAAGCAGGTGGATCTATGCATTTATGTTGTTTACACCCATTTTCTGAGCACACCATCACCATTGCAAAAGAAAACCAGACTAATCAGACCAGGCAGTGTTTTTTCAATATGCTTTTTTTTGGTTTAGCTTCACCAAAAATCTGTTTTTAACTGTCGATAGGGGCACAAGGTGCTGCTGTAGCCCATCATCTTCACATTTTGTTGTGTTGTGCATTCAGAGAAGCTTTTCTGCATACCTTGGTTGTAACAACTGGTCATTTGAGTTACTGTTGCCTTCCTATCAGCCTGAAGCAGCGTGGCCATCCTCCTCTGAATTCTGGTATTTTCACCTTGAGAATTGCAGCTCGCTGGATCTTCTCTCTTTTTCAGATCATTCTGTATAAACCCTAGAGATGGTTGTGGAGGAAAATCCCAGTAGATCAGCAGTTTCTGAAATATTCAGACCAAACTATCTGGTAGCAATACTCACATCACATTTAAAGTCACCTTTCTTCCCCATTCTGCTTCTCAGTTTGAATTTTAGCAGGTCTCTTGACCATGTCTACATGCCTAAAATCACTGAGTGTTGCTGTTTCAATCGGCCGAATAGATTTTTGTGTTAACAGTTAGTTAAACAGCTGTACTAAACAACATGGTCGGGTGAGTTTATATGACATTTAAAGAGTTAGCTTACTTTCCAGGAAATCAAATAAACCCATTAATAATTTTTGTCACACTTCAGGCCTCTTGTGAAAGAATGCATTTGTTTAATGCAGTTTTTTTAAATCATTTCTTACAGATAAAGCTTGTATGTATCCCCATTCTTTCTTAAATCTTTTTTTGGCTCCTTTTTTTTGTTTGTATTTTGTTTTTTGCTTCCAGATAGAGCGTGATAAGGGCTCCAACCTGGCTTTCATGTTCCGGCTGCCGTTTGCTGCAGGCAGAGTGTTCAGTATCAGCATGCTGGATACACTACTTTACCAGGTGGGATAACAGACTTTGAACTAGTTCGTTATGGAATAGTTAAATATAGACCTGTCTGTCAGCGATTTCATCCTTAGAATTTGTGCTGCACTAGTTCCTCTGTCTGAAAGTTGTGTCTAAAAAGGTAACGGCTGTTACATCAGTGTTTCCTAGTAAGGTGCAGTTTATTGTCTAAAGTAAATGTGTTTTTTATGTGTTTAAGCCTCAAATGAATATCCTACAAAAGAACATTTGTGCCTTTAAATATTAATGAGCATAATGCACAGGATAAAATAATTTATTGCAGGTGTTATAAAGAAAACTTCCCCTCAGAGCAATTGCAAAATGTGTTTGCGAAAGCTTTTAAACGTATTTTTTTAAACCACAGTCATTTGTCAAGGACTACATGATCGCCATCATCAGGCTTCTCCTCGGTCTGGACACCACGCCTGGTTCTGGGTACCTATGTGCTGTATGTGGAAATTTACTTTTGCATCTTAGCAAGTGATTTGTGCATTTTAGTAATTTCATCTGTGATGTGCAGCAACTTTATCGTCAATCTCTCACTTCAGATGAAGATCACAGAGGAGGACCTGTGGATCAGGACCTACGGCAGACTCTTCCAGAAACTTTGCTCCTCCAGCGCTGAGATTCCCATCGGGATCTACCGGACCGAGTCGCATATGTTCTCAACCTCTGAGGCAAGTTCACTTTGATCAGATCCTCAGTATCTGAGTCCTGGTCTTGGATTGGGTGTCAGCTTTTGCCTGTGGTTTGAATTCAGCTACCATCTATTAATCATTCCCTCCTTTAGTTTTTGCTTGAGTCCTTCTCCTTTGGTACTCTTGCTTATTCTTCAGCTTGTATTTCCTATTCCCTAAATTGCCTTTCCTTTGTTTGAGGCTGCACATTTACCATTCATTTCTTAATACAGATACATTCCAGCTGGCAGAAATTCATGTCAAGCAATGAATTTAGATTTATATTTTTGACTGACTGTCACATACTGCTATTAATACAGTTATGAATAAATAAAATATTAAACATCAGCATATGTAAGCTTCCATATGCTGATGTTTAAGGCTTCGAACATTTGTTTGCTCTGAATGGCCTCATCTTTCATTGCATCTCTTTTTGTTTGGATGTCTGTCTGTCCTTATATTCCAGTGCAGGGACAGTAATGCACAGGTAAGATCCAAACAGGCTTGATTGACTCCTTTTTTTGCTTAAAGCAGGCAAAGTAAAAAAAAAAATACCTTACTGGTATTTTTTTTTTTTAATATCAAAAGTTTGTTTGCTTCTTATTCTTATAGTGCACGCTTTCCTCACAGAATCCAGCTTTCACATTTCCATCTTACCATTCCAGTCTCAGGTGTCCATCAACGTGGAGCATGGTGAGGAGCACCGTGATCGTGGAGGATCCTGGAAGGAGAAGACGGGCTACAGAAACTCCACCACGAGCGACCAATCGGAGCACCCGCTGCTAAGGAAGAAGAGCATGCAGTGGGCTCGGCGGCTGAGCAGGAAGAACGTCAAACCGTCGACCAGAGCGGAGCGCATCTCACAGCAGAGACTGAATCTGTATCGGCGCTCCGAGCGACAGGAGCTGTCCGAGCTGGTGAAGAATCGCATGAAGCACCTGGGCCTCCCCACTGTGGGATACGGTGAGTGGAACAGCTGATGTTATGATATATGAGGATATGTTGATGCTTTAGGTTGAAAGATATTACTCAGTATAGCTTATTGTATAGGACTAGATACAGTTCAGCTGCTGTTATCAGTTATTTTAATTAATGATCGTATTTCTTTGTATTTAATTTGTAAATATTAGTCATAATGTCCCAGAAAATGAATAATAATGCTAATTATAATGTTTGTTGCAGATTGGAGTCTCAGTTCTGTAAACATGACTTTGAGGTCACAGAAGCTTTGGATGCAGAAATCCTGTAACTGGTTGAGTTAAATCTCAGTGAGTGAAGCCTAAGAAAAGTCAAAGAAGGAAACCTTTAGTTCAGAAGTCACAGACAT